GATGTTTTGGTGCACAGAGAAGCTTGCTGGGAGGGGAACGAGCAACCGCTAATTCCTCCCCCAAGCCCAACACAAGGACAAGACTGGCAGGGGTCCCTGCCCTCCCCTGCCTCCCAGTCTAAGTCAGGTCCAAGAGAGGAAGCACCACTGGCTGGCACAGCTCTGGAACACAGCGGTCTGTGTCTTAGAGGTGGGGTCTGTCACCACAGCTCTCTCACAGCTCTCTCAAAGCGTTCTTGAGCCCAGCGTAGTGGTTTGTGTTTGTTAAAACTGTGGTACTAAGGGGGGACGATTGGCTCTTTTCCTGGATATCTGACCCGAATGCCAGCCCCGTCATTTGGTTAACGGCCAATCGAACCAGGCTTCCTGTGCACACTGTGCCCCCAACAGACTGGAAGTGAGAAGAGCAGCTTGTTTTGCGTGAGATCCAGTCACGACGTGGTCGGTGTGTGACAGGCAGGAGAGGATGTGGTCACTGTGAGACCTGAAGGTTAACGGAAGAGCCAGTAAAATCCCACGTCAGAACAAACGAGCGGCCCTCAGCACCACACTGAATGGCCGCGGGCTTCGTTTTCACGCGAGTCCCTGCAGGCAGACGTCTTTCTTCTCCATGTGGACCTGTGTGACTCACCTTTCCAAATGCCTCGTGCTCTAGGAAACACAGGCTGGGCTCCCATTCTGTTACTCTTCCCATTGCCGAATTTGTTCGCAAACACTCTAGCTATTGCTCTAAAATAATCGATCCTCCTCCCAAGACAGGGTTCTTTTAGTTTTAATTTATTTCCAATTGACAAACAATAATTACATATGTTTGCAGAGTACAAAGTGATGTTTTAATTCATGTATACAGCCTGGAAGATTAAAACAGAGGAATAAAACACAGGATGTCCTGTCATTGGCAGTGACGTGGCTGAACCCAAAGGACATTATATTAAGTGGAATCAGATGGGCACAGAGAGGCAGACACCATGGATCTCACTTACACGTGGCGTTTAAAAAACTGAAGTCATTCAGCAGAGCGTAGATTGGCAGTCACTCGAGGCAGGGTCAGGGGTGGGCGGGAAGACCGCCCACCAGTGGGAAGACAGGAGGAATCAGCTCCAGAGTCTTATTGCACAGCAAGGTGACTGTGGTTAATACTTGTATATTTCAGAATGGCTAAGAGACTCTAGGTGAGGTGTTCTTGCGACTTCTGTTTAACAAGTTCGCGGGACTTGTGCGTGGCGGAGCAAGTAAACAAACAAGTCATAGCAGAGTTGGTCGTTTTGTGCCTTGCTTTCCTGGACTCATGTCATTATAATCACTCTTTTTTTTTTTTTTGAGTTGGAGTCTCAGTCTTTGCTGCCCACGCTGGAGTGCAGTGGCACGCTCATGGCCACCGCAGCCTCAACCTGCTGGGCTTAGGTGATCCTTCTGCCTCAGACTTCCAGTTAGCTGGAATGACAGACTCACGCCACCACGCCCGGCTAGTTTTTTGTGATTTATTGTAGAGATGAGGTCTCACCAAGTTTCCTGGGCTGGTCTCGAACCCCCGGGTTCAGACAATCCTCTCGCCTCGGCCTCCCAAAGTGCTGGGATAACAGGCTGAGCCATCGTGCCCAGCCTATAATCACTCTTGAAACCACAATGCATATTCATATACGCAGGCAAAGGGTATAAGTATTGGGATACCTTAATTTACCTTTACCACCTCTTGCCCTAACTGAAAAATCCTTCCTCCCTCCCTTCTTTCCTTCCTTCCTTCATTTGTATGTCAAGTCTTTTTTTTAAAGGGGATGTTACGTGTTTTTCAAATTCAGGTCTTATAAACTTGGGAAATGGGGAGCAGATGACTGGATTACATGTAAATAAATACAGTATTAAATGAATTCTGCTTTCTAGATGGAAAAAAGTTCTTGGTTGATAGGCCTGTAATGGTGTAAGATGTTCTGTGCTTAAATAAATCGTCCTAGTGTGTCTAATATTGATGAATTCCCCAAGCAGTAGCTTCCACAGATCTACTGAGGGTCGGGAAGAAAGTTATCATGGCTGGAGAAAAAACACTGTCCTTATCCTGCTTCGTGCTGCTGTCAGGAAGAGGGAGGCAGTTGGCCTTCAGAAATATTCTCCTCTAGCCAAGCGCTGAGCAGAATGGGTGGGGGCATCTGGTCTGGCACAAGGTGACTTCCATCCTTTGGGGGAGGTAGACACATGCTCACTTTCCGACTGTTCGTGTCCTCATTCCGTGGCCTACCGACTTCTCAGGCTCTTTCTTTCTAGATATTACCTCACTTCTCCATTTTCTCTTGGTCCTTTTTTCTTCCAAGCCCAGCGGTCTTCTTAGGCAGGATTTTCTTCTCTCTTTCTCAGTTCTGTGTTTTTACCAGGGACCCCCGGGGATGGTTCCTCTCAGGCTTTGTCAGAACCAGGGGCTATCTCCTGCCTGAACCTGCAGATGAACCTGTTGGGTCCAAGCCTGACTTAGAGGTGGCGCCCAGGCAGTGTACACCTGGCTAGGGGTAGGCCAAAAGAGATTCCATGTTTGCAAAGTTCTAAATCTCCTATAAATAAATAATAAAGACGACCTTTCCACACACAGGTTTATTGAAAAATATTTAACAAAGTTTGTGCAACTCCTGGGTCCCAGGTTCTGCGCAAGGCATGGGTCAACACGCTTAGCAGGTAGATGTAGTTCCAGTAGACGGGAAGCCTACAGACTGGTGGTTTTGATCACTAGCACTTTCCGGTTACTTGCAGCCCTTAAAGAAAAAAAGACTTGACTAAGGATGGGTGCTGTATAAATGACAACAAATTTGATGGTAGAAAACTGTATGCCAGCTTTTTCTTTTTTTAAGGGAACATGCTCTCCTCTATTTTGTGAGCACCGCCGTGCCGACAGCAGGGGCTCGGGGTGGGGGGCTCTGGGGAGCACGTCATCACCAGGACCAGGCTTTCCACCCTGCCCCTGCCTGAAGACACATGAAAGAGCCCAGAGAATTGGGGGTCTGCAGAGTGGGCGCAAGCCTGGACCTCACGTTTGTACAAAGACTCAAGAGCAGATGTGTGGCGGGCTCGCCGCACGCCTGCAGTCCCAGTTTCAGAAAACCGAGGCCGGAGGACCGCTTGAGACCGGGAGGCCGGTGAAGGCTGCCTGGGCAGGAGGGCACCCCTGCCTGGGGCCAGGGCGAGTGCGACCCTGAGACAACGACCGAACCCAGAAGAGGGTGGTGGGCTTTACCAGCGCCTTGGGAGCTGGCAGGAGCCCGGAGGCTGGCCGGGGTGGGAGGCACAAGGTCCAGCCAGAGGCAAGGGGCGTGGAGGGCCCAGGGCCTGGCCCGCCGAGGCCGAGAGGGCTGGGGGCGGCGGGGCCCACCCGTGGTCCTGCGTGCCCGCTCTCATTTCTTCTCATCATTATAAAAAATATTGTGAGGCTCTTCTAACCTTAGAAATTTCAGGCAGCACATGGCTCTCTCCTTCCCTCACCATGCCCACGCCTTGAGTTAAAATGTTTTAAAAATATTTCTAGTTATGTTGATTTAGTAAAATTTAATTTTAAACAAATTTAATTTGTGCAAACCAAATCAAACATTAGGTGAGTGTGTCAGGCTTGTGATTTTATTCCTAGCAGAATAACATAGCTGTGCTATTTGCTAAACTGACATCAAAAATCTCAGAAACGATCCATTTTGCCTTGCATATTTTCTTGAAAAGAATCAAATAGACAAAAATGTAAGCCGTGACATATAAAATGTTTAATTCCTTGCCATTAGAAGTACTTTTCAGTTTCGGAAGAATCTACAGTTGTCATACAGGTTTCATGGGACTAGCTTAGAATTGCTTCGACATTCCCAGGGAATCTAGCTTTGCTGCTCGGGAGAGCTAGGGAGCACGCTTGGTGTTTACCGACCTTTTTGTTTCTTTCTCCTCAGCGTGGAACAGGGTCGAGGCACGCAGCAGGTGTTCTGTAGATTCTCGCATCCTTCTGCACCAGCTGGTTAAAGCAGAGATTAGTTATGTCAGCATATACCACGATCCCATTTTAAACACAGTTTACTAATATAGATGCTTTTGATTTCTAGATTTCTTTGACTACCTGGTGTGTTTCCAATTTTTCTGCTATCTTCATTTTGAACCGTGCAAAACTGATAAAGGCATTGGCGAAAATGGCAAGGAACCCTGTTCTTTCATCGCCCTGGACGAAAACGTCCAAAAGGGGAGAAGACTACCAGGAGAAGTCGTTCATGGGATGGGTCTTCGGTCACCTCCTGCACATCGCCTCTGCGCACTGGAGGAGACAACTGCAGTCTCACTCTGTCATCGCCGAAAGAACCAAGCTTCCTCTGGGATCCTTGAAACTTCAGCACCAGACCCTATGATCTATCCCTTGGTCTTTCCCAAACTCTTCCTTCCTTTTACCTCTGTTCTTATGCTTTTTCTTAAACTTCCCCTTGAAATTTGTTTCTCATTGCAGTGAAAGATCTTCTCACCCAACATGATTTTTGTAGCAATGCCAAAAGGCCAATATATTCTGTCTGGAAATTCGTGCTCAGTGGCTATGAAACTCAATTTATCCCTGAAGGATTGTGAGTCCCAGGGTAAGATCACACTTCCTGCCTCTGTCTTTCCTGACTTCTTCATGTTTTAAAAGGTATATAGACAAAAAGAGAAAACAACTCAAATTTTGCTTCAATCCCGAGTTATCTGGGCAAGAGCTAGGCAAGAAACCTAGCGGCATCTTCTACCATTTTCTCCATAGAGCTGGTCTTTTATCTCCCAAGACGAGATTATTAGAAGCTATGACACAAACAGCAGTGGGATTTGAAGTATGATCTGGGCACGATATGTAGTCTTGGGACCCTTTCATAGGAACTACAAGGGCAAAACATGTTTTACAGTATTACGGGCACATCATGTGCCTTTTCCACTCTTATTTTCCGGTGAGAGTACCATGTACAAAAAGTTTAATCTGGTTTCAGATTGCACATTGCAATTAACATTTAAGAAAATCACATCCGCTTCTTCTGCTGCTGCTGGTGCTGCTTGTGTGCTCGTTGGGTGCGGACCTGGTGCCTCTTTTGTGAAGCGGCTTCTGAGGAGACTCCAGCGCTCGCCATGGCCGACGCAAAGCCCAAGGAAGGAGTCAAGACTGAGAACAACGATCATATTCATTTGAAGGTGGCGGGGCAGGCTGGTTCTGTGGTGCAGTTTAAGATCAAGAGGCACACACCACTTAGTAAACTAATGAGAGCCTATTGTGAACGACAGGGCTTGTCAATGAGGCAGATCAGATTCCGATTGGACGGGCAGCCAATCAATGAAACAGACACACCCGCACAGCTGGGAATGAAGAATGAAGATACAATTGACGTGTTCCAGCAGCAGACAGGAGGTGTCTACTAAAAAGAACTCTGTTCTTACAGACCAAGGTGACATTCTCAAGTAGCAAACTGCAATTTGGTTCCACCACATCCTGACTACTACAGTATAGTTTTCTTTACTCTTTCATTTTCCCCTTCCCCATTCCTTTACTGTACGTAAAGTAACTGATGTATGTGCACACGCATATTACAATTTGTTTTTTTAACTAAATGGCCACCGGTATGTTTTGATTGACATCAAGTGGAGATAGGATGGGAACAAATACTGGTTCTGTGAAAATACCCCCTTTCTCCATTAGTGGCATGTTCATTCAGCTCTTATCTTTATATTACAGTAAGTTATTTTGCTCTCACTGTTTTAACAAAAAGACAACAACATAAAAAAAATCCTTGCATACCTTGTTCAATTGGAGAATTTTAATGCTTTCATTTATCATTGTAAAACTAATGACGATTTTATAACTTTTTTGTACGTAGCTGTTACATGTAGGGCAATCTGTCTTTAAGTAGGGATAAATTACTCTTAAAAAAAAAAAAAAGAAACCTAGATAGTTTTCCCTTCAAGTCAAGCGTCTTGTTGCTTAAATAAACTTCTTGTTTAAAAGAAAAGAAAAGAAAATAACATCCGTAGAGTCTTGATGTAGTATCAAGGAAGAACAGTCACAATTATCTGAATGGGCTATTAAAAGATTCTTCCCTTTTCCAACTATGTCTGTGTGGGGCCAGATTTTTTTCCTAGTCTTTAACCAAAACAACACCTTGCAACAGATTGAAGACAGAAGCAGTTCTGAGAACCCAGCTGTTTTCTGTTAAGCCAGGGATTAAAGAGATTTGCAAAAATGTAAAACAATGCCACTCTTCTCACAACACCTTTTTTGTCTTAGAAAATATATTGATACTTGATAAATATTCTATTTATGTTCACATATAATGGTTTATTACTATTTAAAATAAATATATGATTTTTTATCATCTCAATTTTTAAATATTTTGAATGCAATAAATATTAATAGATACCATTCACATCAACCAAAAATCTTTGGTGTCTTCAGATTTATTAAAAAATATTAAATAATGCTGAACAAAAACTTTTGAGAATCACCAATATATGGAATGTTGATATTTAACTTATAGCACCCTCACATAGTTATAAAGCAAATTGTTAGACTTGAGCTAATAATGTGTTCTAGAGAGCAAAAGTTATCTTAATTTCTTTCCTTTTAATGTCTTTTGACTGTTTTTCTATTGTATGTCACCTAAGATCATTTTATTCTTTCTAATATCTTCTCCACTGTGAACGGTCTTTATTTAATTAAGAAAGTAGACAAATGCAAACTCACATAATAGGATTTTGCCTTACTCAAATCTTTATATGTCAAAAAATTCACCACAAAGAATTCAGATTGAATGTTATTACTCATCCTTGTCGCTTAAATCCAGGTTAAGCACAGATTTAAATACCAACTACCTCAAATACACTTCTACTTTAGAAGAAACTAGAGACAATTCAAGACACTATGCATTTATAAATCTGGCATAGGGTGTATGTTATCATGGGGACACTGATGAGATAAAAATCACAAAGCCACTGGGGAAGCAGGGAAAACCAACCCTAGGACTTTTTAAAGGAAAACACATACATGGCAATTTGTTGGGTGAAATAAAGCAGAAGGAATGAGATTGTGATGTAGCCCCACTATTTCTCTAAGCACTGAGCATGCTCTGGAACAGCACCACACAGGTGCAGAAGCAGAAATTAGAAAATAGAACCCCAGAGAAGGGAGATTTCAGAAGCACAGGAATTATAACAGAGGACACGTGCATTGCTGCAAAACCAGTCACTGACTTTTTTTGAGAAGTCCTACTCGGCACGCAGCCTCAGTGAAGGGGAGTAAGGCGCCTGCTGGCATTCAGATGTCACAGGTACATTCTGGTTTCACACACACGCACAAGACTCAAAAACTCCTGCATCTTTATCAGTTATTTACCTCATTACTTATGTATTTAGAATTTGTGTTCTCTCTCCCCCTAAACAGTATAATGAAAGTGATAAGTATAGTACACGATGGAAAAATAAAATAGAACAGGAAACCAAGCAGTGATCAGAGGACAGGGCAGTTGCCAGGACCCCAGGATTCGAGATGGTCGTCACATTATTAAAATGTTGACAGCAGTTAACTGAGCAATCCGCATGCTCCAAGGATTTGCACATGCTATTCTGTTTCATTCTTACAGCTGACTTAAGCACCGCCTGTTTCTCAGATGAGGAGACTGAGAGCAGAAAGTGTCTGCAGCAGGCTCACTCACGGTCGCACAACTGGGAGTAGTGGCCTGGAGCTCTCGTCACTGTGCGCTGCTGTTTTTTGTGCATCTCTAGTTGGCCTCGGGCTGCCGGGGTAAGGGGCACCAACGCCCTGACCTCAGAGCTCACAGTCTCATACCCTAGCCAGCTAACCGAAGAACTGATCCCGACTGACATTCGTCCTGTGATCACGTTATCGGTGATGAGCTTCAGGAAGCAAGAGTTACATGTCCACGTGGATCCCCGCAGCCCTCTACGGAAGGTGTTAGGACGGAGTCGAGGAGAAGGGAACCCAGGGGTGGCCGGAGCAGAGCTGCTGGGTAACTGGAAACCACACACCACTCAGCTTTGAAGGCGCAAGAAAGGCTCCGACCAGACACCAGGCAGAGCAGATCAAAGCCGGGAGCACAAACGCGCCTGTTGTCTGGGCAAGCCGCAAGATACCAGAAGGGAGCCCACATCCCTTGCTGCAGAGCAGATGCAGCACATCTGAGAGGCTACATAAACCAAATAAATACTGACAGAGAACCCCCTTGAAGTCCCACGGAAACGGCAGCACGGGCGGTCACCGAAAGCGAGGAAAGCCCACTCTCCCTGCCGGTGGCCTGCGGCCTTCTGCCCCGCCGTGCGGATCCTGTCTCGGATGAAACCGAACATCCACTAATAAGAGCGCCGAAAAGCACGAAACTGCATTATATAAGCATTTGCGGGGGGAACCAGAACTGATTTTATTTAAAACGTTCTCTGGCCAGTGGCATCGAATGCCTTCTTTGCACTTCACAAGGGTTTCGGGTTGAGAGCGACAAGTAAGAGAAGCACTGTGCTCTCTATTCAAGTGCAGCGATGGCTCTGTAATGGAGTGGGAGGAAGGGTGACCCCACTCTTCCAGCCGAGAAACTTCCTGAGTAAAGAGGGAAGCATGAATGCATTTGACCTCTGCCATAAGGGCAGTGCGATCTTAGGTGCTTTATAGACGTGACTGTATCTGATTGCTAGCACAGTCCTGTAAACTGGGGATTCTTAGATCTATAGATGGAAGCGTATATTGAGCATTTAATTCCAAGGTCTTATAGCAAGTGGCAGGACTGAAATATGAACTCCCTTCTTAAAAAGTTACTTCTAGCAAGTTCTGAAACCCCAGTTCAGGATTTCTGTAAAAATGTATAAAAGTAACACAGAAGCACTTAACTGTAGGAATCAAATATTTTATTTGTCAGATTGAACAAAAAAAGTGATAGGTTTAAGATCTTAATAATAAAGGACTGGAAGCAAGAGCAGCAAACTGAACGAAAGGGCTTTACTCTCCAATGACACAATTTGAGGGCACACTAGAGTGTCCAGCTCATCCCGACGGGTCCGGGACGGTTCCTGTTGGACACTTTGTTATGTGCTGGAGAAACATGGTGAGTAGTAATAGTTTAACTGCTAGTTCCTATTGCCAGAGGCAACAAGATTAATGAAGTGAAATCCAAGAGAGATGCGGGGTATAAAGTTGGTTGTATGAGCATATGAACAGGGGACCTGAGTTGTCTTGGGAGCTCAGAGACAGCGTCCCACAGAAGAGGCACAAGAGGAATTGTGAAGACTGAATAGGAGTCGGCCAGATATAAGGGTGTTGGGTCGGGGGTCTTCCAGAGGGAGGCAGAAGAGAAGGGAGCAGTCGGAGAAACGAGGGTCGCAGGAGCACAGAGGGCGAGAGGCCAAGCCCACACGGGCGGGACTTCCGGGGAGGCAGGGGAGACACTCCAAAGGCTTCTTGACCGAGTCAAAGGTTTTGAGTTTTGTCCTAAGAACAGAAGGGAGTCCTAGAGGGCCTGCGGAGAGAGAGTGGAATGGTGGGGGTCGGGGCCGGCCTGTTCACGTTTCTGGTGTGGAAGGGTCATGCGTGGAGAAGAACAGAGTGGACGACAGAACCCTGAGCAGACGACTGCTACAGACCCGCCAGAGGCAGCAGTGGCCAGGGAGGTGGCCAGCAGAGGCTGAACGAGGAGGATGTTCGTGTAAGTATCTAGACGGAAACACTGAGTGCTCCCAGTGGTCAACTCCCCAGGGCTTGAAGCAGAGAAACATGTCAAAGACGATGCCTGTGCTCATGGCTGTTGTAAATGGGAGTGGTGGAGACTTATATAGGGTTTACCTTTACTGTCTCTAGGCTAGCTGTTTCAACAGAGATGTTCCTGTTCTTGTAATAACATCAGAAAATGCAGGGATCTTTTCCTCACCACGGACCTGCAGGACCCTGCTGCCACTTGCGGACTTCGTGTCTGACTGGTGGAGAGGCGACCTCGAGGCCCAAGGGACGTGATGGCGCAAACATCGTCTTATGTTACAGAGCCGTAGGTGTGGATGGCGATAAGGGAAGCATGAGGGGTTCGTCCCTGACAGGGTTTCCTCAAGCTAAGATTCGTCCAGCAGCAGATTCATGTTAATTAACACTTTATGGGACACATTTATGTTCACCAGTCTTCATTACTTTATAAGTGATACAACCTATAGAGACAGTCTTTTTAAAATATTACTTTTGGAACAGTTTTGCAAGACCTAACAAAATGATTCTGCAGATCTCTGCTCATGGGATTCTGTTACTGTGAGCAAAATTACTACCCTTATATGTTTCTAAGTGTTGTCTATACTATCTAGATTCAGTCTCTAACAGTATTATTATTAAAAAAGCAAAGTCTACAAATCTGAAAATCATTTTTTTATTTTAACATAGACTT